CCTCTACCAATGAAATTGTCCAAAACATCAAAATTCCAAGCACATCTATGCCCACTTTTGAATCAAATTTTGAATTTAGGGGTCTGTGAGGTCTGTCACGGGTTCTATGTAGGCTAGCTGGCAGATAGGCCACTCCTTTGACTCTTCACTTCTGAAATGGATGTTCTTGGATAAAGAAGCAAATAAGCAGAAATAAAAGAACCTTCATCAACAATTCTTTTGTTTCTTGAGTAGTGGCTATGAGTTCTGGCATTCTGTGGTAGAGGGAAGAATCAGAAGAAACATAGCTACTCTATGCATGGGGAAGGCTTGGGAAACAGGGTGGAGAGATGTTCGTGTGAGTGGGAGACGGTGAATCGGGTACATTGTATGTCTGTATGGACATGTCAAAATGAAACCCCTCTAAACAACTAGTTGATGCTAATAAAAACTATGATAAAAAATTCAGACTTTAACATCCAAGATGAGAAAACCTGAACTCATTTTTATAATAAAAAATGAGAACACAGATTTATCTAGTGATCGCAATCCCTCAAATATTAATAACACATCAATGAATCCACATGAAAATCCCCCAAAAATGTACATAGAACTAACCAGATTTAATCTGTTTCTTCTACTGTTTGGGATGGGAAATGTAACATATGAAATATACCAACATATAAAGTACCCAGAATAGTTTACCTAAACTAATACAGACAAAAGGCAGATTAGAGGCCTCCAAGAACTTAAGAAAATGGAAAACAGAGCAAGACTGATTAATGTATGTGTATATACCTTTTGGGGTAATGAATACATTTGAGGTCTAGATCACGTGATGGTTACACAACAGTGTAATGTACTACATACAAATGAACTATATACTGTCATAGTGTTGATTCCATGCTATGTGGATTTTATCTTAATTTTTAAAATGTTTAATCAGTATGTGCCCACTACATTTGAGAATGTCCATTACAGAACATTTATTATAAATACACAAATACAAAAATGCTGATGCTACAGGGGCCAAGTATCTAAAACCATGCATTTCCAAACATTTCAAATTGCCATTGTTTAAATTCCATTACACTCAAAACAGCAATGTTTATATAGAGACAGAATGATTGAGGGGTTTTCAGACTTAAAAGCTCAGATATCCAGCTAGAATTAAATCAGTACAACATGACCAAGAAAATGGAGATGAAGCCTACTAACAAAAAAATTAGTTTAAATATCAGGAGGTATCACTCAGTAGTGAAGTCAGCTATATTTTCAAAAGGGCAGCCAAAAGGAAGTTATCCAAATCCCATAATTTTGTCCATTAAAAATGAAGCTGAAAAGAAAAAAAAAGTTAAAAGGCCAGAAAATACTCCCTGTACACCAATTTTATACTGGCAATCGTGAGATTCAATGACAGAATGAGTGTTATAACTTCTGGGTCCAACAGCCAATGGCTCCAGCTTTCTTATGGTTTGTACATAGGTAGGCCATTTGTTTGTCTTTTCTACCAAAGAATTTATTTAGGGGAGGATTTGAAACATGGAGGATGAAAGATGCCTCAGAAAACAAGAATTCCCTTGAATTTAACTGCTAAAACAAATCAAATTCATATAGCTGTCACATAGACATATATTTTGCTGTGTCTTTGTTCTGTGTTTTCACTTCTTTGTCTGGTCACTTTTAATAAAAAGCTCAATTCTGTTATATGGGGTGAGTGACATTGCAGGTTACATAAACATAGGAAGTCATCAACCCTTCTTCTTGGAGAGGAGGGAGATCTAGGCCAGATAAACCCATCGAAGGCAGACAGAGTAATTAAAACAAAAAACAAAAAGGGCAGACTGAGTCCCCATAGGCCCTCCCACCATTCTTAGCTCAGAACGTGGATGCAAGCAGAAGAATAGAGAGATTCCCATCAGCCTCCTCATTCCAATGATCCTCTCTTGGCCTTAGAGGATAATAATCTCTTCTCAGAGATTCCCTGGGACAGCAGGTGAACTCTGTAGAGAATTACTAGTGATACAAAAAGAAGTAGCTAACATTTATTGAGTTCTTTTCTCGGATGAAGAAAAATTCCTTAAGTAACTTGACAAACATCGTATACCTGGTAAGATGTGTCATTCTTCTGGGCTAAATGCCTGAACAGACTGGGCACCAATCGTTTAGACATTCTGCCTCCTGGAACACAGTAAACTCAGAGAAGCTAGTCAAACCTAGAGCTGCAGAAATTCCTTTCTGGAGGGGGAGATGATGCCTAATCTTGCAAGACAAGATTGCATCTTATTCGGTGGATGAAGAAGGGGTAGCAGTCTGAACCAGAATAGGGAATAATATAAACAAGTATTCCAAGCTGTAAAATAGATTCCTTGGCCTTTCTTCTAAGCATAGGGACGACAATGATGATCCAAATTAAACTCCATCAAAGGTCCTCAAAAACATGGGATCAATGAAAGATAATGCCAGCCCAGGACACAACTGGGTTTTCCAATGTGCAGCCATGAAGTACATCTAGATTGGCGTTGAGGCTCAGCCAATGAATAGCAACTAAGCGACAGATTGCAGCTCCAGAGGCCTGGGAGAGGAGAGAAAGGAAAAGTCTGATGAAAGAAGCTCAGAGAAGAATGCATCAGTAGAAGCAGAATGGAGGGATTCCTGGGACAGGGAGGGCATGCTGGCAAGTAGAGAAAGCTGCCCTTCAGCCATCCTACTCAATATATAGATGAGGCTACTGGATACTCTAGACCTGGTTCACAATGGCTTGGCAAACAGGTGGGGACACGTGGACGCCCAGATACACTGTGATTTCCTGCTTCTTGCTGAACCTTTAATCTACCAGTTGTGTGTCCTTGCCCCAGGACCTGCGCTTTTGGCAGAACTATGTGCTAGTCGGCAGAACTATGTCCTATGTCTCGGCCAATTGTCGCTTCTCTGCTTCAGTCAAAACATTCCCTCTTCATTCCCCACTACATTCCATCAAGGCTTTGCCAGAGGCCTGACCAGGAAAAGAAAAGAATCTGAAGACTGAAGTCCCAGTGGGTTAGACTTTCCAGATAATGCTGACATTTTAACAAATGTCTTTAGCGCTACAGAGGAAATTTGGTGGGAAAGTTTTAGGCACTGGCAGGGTGAAGGGAAGAGCTGTTTTACAAAACACTTATTATATGCTTGTTCTTTTCAAATGAAGCCTTGTAAATGATAGCTTAATTTGATTCTATGTTTATTGTCTGTGCTTTCTCCTCCTCTCTTCCTCCCCTTTCTCTTTCTCCCTTAGTCTTTCATCTCTTTGTGTGCCTCATCCATCTGTCTGTCTCTCTGCTTCTATATCTCTATCTCCTTCTCTCCTCTCTGTAACATTTCCCTACACATTTTCCCAGCCATACAGAACTATTGGATTACTGCATATTATTTGTATTTCAGCCTTGTTCTATAGTTGTATAAACACAGTTCTTCAAAATGTATAGACTTGCTTTATCCTCATATATGTTCAGCATTTTGTAGCTATCATATGCTTGCTTGAAAATGAATGGCTTATATGCTATTTATTGGGTTCAATTCTTATTAAATCAATTATGTTAATTTTTTTCAAAGTTTCTATAGCCTATTAACTATTTGCTCTTTTATACACAAGTTATAGATGAAGATAGTTTTTAAATTTCTCCTTGTATTTGTACTAATTTTTGCTTCATGTTTCTCAAATTTACATGATTAGGTATATTAGTTTATAAATAACCCTCTGTTGGTTTTTTGTTTGTTTGAAAGAGAAAAGTTTGAACTCAGGGATCCCACTGGCTAGGCAGGCATTCTATCATTTGAGCCACACCCCAAGCTTTTTCTCCCTCTCAGTTAGTGTTCAGAGGGGGGTTGGAACCTTTGCCTGGGCATATCTCCAACCATGATCCTCCCAATCTCCACCTCTAACTAGCTGGGATTACAGGATAAATTCCGGCACCCAACCTTATAAATTCTTTTCCATTATGTGGTTAGCCATTTATGTATACTACTACTACTTGGTCTGATAATAATATAGCTATACCACATATATTTCAATAACATTTGTGTAACATATTCATTCTTTATTTCTTCGTAACAGATCATCCCCAAAAGCAGTGGTTTAAAACATCAATTCCACTTTTACTATCATACCAGATAATGTATGCCAGGAATTGTGGAGAGACTTCACTGGATAGTCCTTGCTTGGGGCTGAAGTTAAGACATTGGCTGCAGACCCAGTCTGCTTGGAGTTTGGGGATCTGCTTCCCATATGACTCCTGGCTGGCAAGCTGGTGTTAATTGTTGGTGAGAGGCTCAGTTCCTCCACACAGGGGCCCTTCCTCAGGCCGCTGAGCTGAGCACTCTCACAATGTGGTGGTTGAGTTCCCCCAGGGGGGATGGAAGAAGAGGATCCAGTGGGATGCCCATTCCTCTACTGCACTAGTTCCTCCACTTCCTGTTAGAGCAGGACTGGAGCCTACCTTGTAGAAGGGAGCTTTGCCAACTGACACCAGTGCTCGCCATGCCACCTCTGTCTTTCTCTACTATTTTCCTTTCCAGGTCTGTTCTTCAACTTTCTAAGTGTGCCTCTTGGACACAGATAGAGGTGAAATTTTATTCTGCATTATATCCATTAGCTTTCAATTGGATAATTCAATTTATATTATCTGTTGATTAATAACAAATTAGGGCTTGTTGCTATTATCTTTCTCTCTTTCCTCGACATCTTTGAAACTAATTTTCCTTACATTCCATGTTTTCTGTTGTATTCAATGTGAAGTTATGCATCCGGCTTACACTCTTTACAGGTTTTTCTATAAATCTGAGCATTGCTATTTTACTTCAAATACTAAAGAAAAGAAATATCTATCATGTGAATTCACATTCTTCGGAATTTTGTCTGTGGAACTTAGTTAAGAATTAGGGGTGAAGTAAGCTAAGTGAGAAGAGGAGAGCTGTGAATCAAGTCTGTGTGCTGACTGGCAAGAAACCTTCATTGGGTGAGAGGATTTTAGGTAGGAGAAAAGATGAGTGAAGAGGGACACAAAGGTTCCAGCCAGCCAGCTGAGGCCAAACCAGATAACTCCTGCTCGCATGATTGGTTCATCATTAGCCAGATGTTCTCAGAGCTGTTCAGTTTGATGACCAATGCACAGATTGTCACAGATGAACATTTCAGGATGTTGAAAACCATGGAGTTACAGGGTCAGTCACTGAAGGAAAAGAGTTGTTTGGAAGCCATCAATAAGCAGAGAGAAAGTATAAGCCACTAGACCCCCACAGTATAACCCCTGCTTTCACTGTATTTGATGTTGGTATAATCTGTGGAGGGGAAGGGAAAAACAAATCATATAAATAGGGATACAGGTGGACCCATTGCAACAATGAGATGTACAAGTCGTTATGTCGAAAACGAACTTTACAACTTTGGTGCAGGGGTGGGGGGGGCGGGGGGAGGATGGGAAGGGATGGGAAGGGGAAACAAAGGAGGAGGCTACAATGCTTGATAAGAAATGTACTCATTATCTTGCCCATGTAATTGTAACCCCTCTGTACACTATTTTCACAATAAAAAAATTAAAATTAAAATAAAGAAAGTATAAGCCACTAGATGGTCAAGACTGTCAATTTCCTGTGGACTAAATCTATCCCTACCCTGGGCCTCAAGAATTGCTTCCTGTCACCTCTGGAGGTGATGTCACACATGGGCAGAGTGATTTTAAAGTAACAGTTATCAACCACTTCCTATCCAAACGTGGGAGTGCTCTCTTAGACGCTTGCCTCTCCAGGTTCCAGAGCTACGAGGCATACCCAAAAGACAAATACCATGAGGACAAGAACCTCTTGGACTTCCTTAACCTTGGCACCATGAGAACAAGCTCTGCCTTGATCTGATGACTGAAAGGTTGTGTCAGAGTGACATGAACTCCATCGAGGAGAACCAGCTACAGTACCCCGAGGACAGAGGCCAACTGTTCCTTCAGGAAGAAGTGGCTGGGTTCCTCACCTACTACTGCAAGGCACCTTCTCGCCTAGATCCAGAAAATGTGGTTGTCCTCAATGGCTGCTCCTCTGTCTTCTCTGCACTTGCCATTTTTCTGAGTGATCCGGGGGCGGCCTTTCTAGTCCCAGTTCCCTTCTGTGGTGGCTTCGCCTTTAGCTCTGTTTGCAAAAGTTGAGTTGATGATTCCTGTCTTCCTGGAGAGCAAGTTCATTTCTGAAAAGGCCCATGTTCTCCAGATCACTGTAGAGAAGTTGGAGGTGGTCTTGCTTGAAGCTAGGGTTAAGGGAAAAACCATCAGCGGTCTTGTACTAACCAACCCTCAGAATTCTCTGGGTGGTGTCAATTGATGGAATACTTGTCCTTTGCCAAGAGGCATAGCCTCCACGTGATCATAGATGAGAGTTGCATGCTGTCCGTGTTCGGTGAAGACATCACATTCCGCAGTGTTCTGAGCCTAACAAGTTGGCCTGACTCTAAAAGGACCCATGTGATCTGGGATGCCAGTTTGGATTTCGGCATCGCCAGCTTCTGTCTTGGTGCTTTGTACACCCACAATAGTCTTGTGGCCTCTGCCATGTGCTCCTTTGGCTGCCTCCATGGTGTCTCTGGCATCACGCAGTACAAGCTAGGCCGATTGCTCCAGGACAGAGGATGGATTGATGAGGTGTACCTGCCCACTAACCACTCCCGGCTGCGGGAAGCTCACAAGTATGTCACTAGCAAGCTAGAGGCGCTGGAGATCCCATTTCTCCCTTGTAGCTCTGGCCTCTCTGTGTGGATCAACCTGAAAGATTACCTTTACTACGACCTGGCTACATTTGAAGAAGACCTGCTCCTCTATCACCACTTCCTGTAAAGCAAGCTGATATTATCCCATGGCAAATTCTTCAGGTGTGAGAAACCTGGCTGGTTCCACCTTGTCTTTGCAGAAAAACACAATCAACTCAAAAAGGCTATGAGTCAGTTTCTTCAGGTGCTACAGGAGCAGACACAGGATTGCTTAGAGAGACTACTGGAGGATGCCCTGAGGGAATAGGGTATCTGCTTTCCATCCAGCAGCGTGAGTCAGGCCAGACACAGGCTCAAGGGTCCCAGGAAGCAGCCTCCAGCTCAGAAGGCTGTGGTTGAAATGGTCTGTGGAAATGGTCTCAACTGACCCACTCATCAATCTCCTAAGCTGAGCGTCTGCCATCTTTGGAAGCTTTGCATTGTTTTAGTCTTTGCTAGCCATGTGTATGCCAAAGGATGCATTTCTTTTTAAAAAATTGGGGTTAGGGTGGTAGGGTCTGGAGAGGGAGAAAGGGAGCTTTCTGGCTTCTTATTTAAGTGGTTTTATTTTTTTATATTTTAATGCCTAATAAATTCCATATTCTTAAAAAAACAATTAGGGATAAAGCAACTTTTCCAGAAAAAAAAAGTTGTTTTGCTTCTTCCTTAGGGCATTACCAATCTAATACCACTTTAAAAAATATTATTATCTTTAAGTAGTTGTACAAAAGGGTTTCAATTCAAGATGTCAGTTTATAGGTATAGTGTATCTTGATCAATATCATCCTTTTCATAATTTCCCCCCATCTCTCCCAACCACACCTACCCCCTCAAAAAATTACTTTAAGTATAGGGAGTTAGGGACCATGAAGACAGTATGAATTCAGCATACAAATCTACATAATGGCTATTATTCATGAAGAGTTTTCATAAGGTATTTTCTGTTTCCATTTGTGATTTTAAAAAAAGTTTTCTGATTGTTTTGGCTTTTTTTTGGTTCTGTTTTGTCTTAGTATGGGCATTGGTCTTGTCTGGTACCTCATCCCATTACAAAAAATAATGAGCCATTGAACCTTTGTAATATTAAAGAGAGATTGTTATTGCTTGTTTATTCAAGTCCCTAACTTCCTGGGGGGGTATTGTTTGTTAGTTTTGTTTTTCTTCTCTGACTTTTTTTGTGTAAGGAGATTGTTGTTTTGATGGATTTTTTTTTTTTGGATGAGGATTTCCTTACTTTCTTCTTAGCCTAGTGCTTCAGAGGCTTTTCAAATCTGTATTTGCTGGATGCAGATGGTTCATGCCTATAATCCTAGCTACTCAGGTGGCTGAAATCTAAGGATTGTGTGATCCAAAGCCAGCCTAAGCAGGAAAGTCCATGAGATTCTTTTTTTTAAATTTTTATTGTAAGGATACTGTACAGAAGGATTACAGTTACATGAGTAAGGTAATGAGTACATTTCCTATCAAGCATTGTTACCCCCTCCTTTGTTTTTCCCCTATTATCCTTTCCCCCTTACCTCCCCAACTCCTCCCTCCCCTCCCCCAAGTTGTAAAGTTCATTTTCAACATAGTATCCTGTACATCTCATTGTTACAATGGGTCAACCTGTATTCTTATTTCAGCATTTTGTTATTTCTCTTCCCCTCACCAAATTAGAAAAATGTGTATATAAGATGAAGGGCATCAGAATCAAATACAGTGACAACAGGAGTTATACCATGGGGGAAAAACATACAAAAAAAAAGATTCTTCATCTGCAATTAACCACAAAAAAAAGAGGAAGGAAATGACGGTGGAGGAGGAGGAGGAGGAGAGACCAGAAGTGGACCTGTGGCTCAAGTGGTAGAATACCTTGAGAAAAAAAGAAAAGAGAAGAAAAGCTAGGGGACAGCATCCAGACCCTGAGTTAAAGCCCCACGACCAAAAGAAAAAAAACACAAAATTATATTAGCCAGAGAGGTTTCAAAATACTCTCAACTAACTCTCTGTGGCCATCAGCGACAGAACACTGGTAAAAATCTGCAGCCTGAATTTAATCATGTTGATCATTTACTAACACAAAAATATTGACAGCCCCATGGAATTTAAATAGGCCTTAGAGCCTAATGATACAATATTTAAAATTCCAGATAAAACTCAAAATTAAATAGTTTATGAGCCAGTAAAATATTAATTTAAATATAATCAACTTGAACCAGGTCCAAGATGATACAGATGCTGCATTATCTGGAAAAGACAGCAACTCTTTCAAAATGCCTCCATACAGAAAAGCAAATCCTTTTGAAACAAATAGAAAAACTGTCCTCAATCAAATAGAGATACAAAGAAGAATCAACTGGAAGTTCAAAAACAAATATACAGTAACTTAAAATTAAACTTATGAGGGGCTGGGAAGGTGGCTCAGTGGTAGAGTGCTTGCTTGCTTTGCATGCCTGAGGCCCTGGGTTTGATTCCTCAGCACCACATAAGCAAAAAGAAAAAAGCCGGAAAGTGGCACTGTGGCTCAAGTGGAAGAGCACTAGCCTTGAGCTGAAGAGCTGAGGGACAGTGCCCAGGCCCAGAGTTCAGGCCCCACGACCGGACCCCCCCCCCAAAAAAAATTAAACTTATGAGATGGTTTGGGTGTAAATTATATTAATTACCATAAAACTTTTCATGTACAACATTTTTCAAAGCATCAAATTGCCATATTAGTAGAACTAATTTAAAAATTTGCTCTTAAGTCATTTAGAATTATTATTTGCAAAATATGAAAGCCCTAAAAATATATGTGATCTGGGTGCCTCCAACATATCTGGAGCTCTACAAATTCCAATATTTATAAGAGGGAATATATTTCCCAAGCTTTTATCAATTCCCTCAGCTGTAGTTTATGGTGCTGGGTAGGTAGTTCCTAGAGTAGTTGTGAGAATTAAGTTGCATAATGCATGTTAAATGTAAGCATTCATTCATTATAAGGTACTACTGTTGTTATTTTGGTGCTATCACATGCTTGTTATATTGTATTGAAATTGGTTTGGCAATGAACATGGTTTAGGCTGATGGCTATACTGTATCCTGGTGTGTAATCTTTTGGGTAAATGCCCAGTAGTGGAATTACTGGATCATAAGGTAATTCTATGTTTAACTTTTTCTTTATTGGTCATGGGGCTTGAACTCTGTGCCTGGGTGTTATCCCTATGTTTATTTTTTTGAGGAACCTCCAAAACCAAGATATGGAATTAGCCCAGATGGCCCTCAATGGATCAAGATGAATGGATCAAGAAAATGTGGAATATATATATATATATATATACAGTATGGAATTTTACTCATCTATTAGAAAGAATGATATTGTGCCATTTATATGGAAATGGAAAGACTTGAAACATTTCTATCAAGTGAAGTAAGCCAGCCTCAGAGAAACAAAGGTTGCATAGTTTCCTCAGTTTGTGATAGATAGACTAAACCTATAAATCTAGAAGTGAACATATTGGGATGGAGCATATACAAGTGGCTACAGATGAATTAACTAAAGACTCCATGCAGAGCTCAAGTGGAATGATCTTTTAGGAAGACTAGGTCAAAACCCAACAAAATCACCATCAGGAAATAGGTACATCCAAGAAAGGGGTGGGAAACCAAGAGGAAAGGGGTAGATAAACGAAAGGTTAGTCAAAGTGGGGTGAGATTGTTGAAAGGGTTGACACTGATCAAGGTGCATTGTATAGAGCCTCAGGGACAGCGCCCAGGGCCTGAGTTCAAGCCCCAAGATTGGCAAAATAAAAAGGATGCATTGTATTCATAGACTGTTTTGTTATATGGCACCTCCTTTGTACATTTTCTTGTTTTTGGTTTTTTTTTTTTTTGCCAGTCCTGGGGCTTGAACTCAGGCCCTGGGCACTGTCCCTAAGCTCCTTTTGCTCAAGGCTAGTGTTCTACCAATTGAGCCATAGCGCCACTTCCAGCTTTTTCTGTTTATGTGATACTGAGGAATCAAACCCAGGGTTTCATGTATGCTAGGCAAGCACTCTATCACTGAGCCTTATTCCCTGCCCTTCCTTTGTAGTTTTAAAGATAATTTCAAAAAATTAATCGGTTTTGATACTTGCGAATTCCCTGCCCTTCCTTTGTAGTTTTAAAGATAATTTCAAAAAATTAATCGGTTTTGATACTTGTCACCCAGCTGGACTATTGTCCTTGTATTTCTAGACCTCGTATAAAGGTAGACAAGTAGTAAATATTCAAGGATAATTGATTAAACTAAATTGGTGACTGGAGTGGAAAAAATAAGCTTCATAACTTTTTAATAGCTAAAAAAATACTAGGTGCAGAAAACAAACTACAAGCCGGTGGGAATGGAGTGGACCCACAAGTCGTAAGATACTCCAATGGTGAGTTCCATAGTCCTTTTTGCTCCCTGTTTGATGATTTGTTTGATATGGTTGGGGTGTGGGGAATCCTTCATACAAATTAAATCCTTCTTAAGAAGCTTACACAAATAAAAATTAATTTCAAAAAGTCACACAGATATCTCTCTGGCTGAGGATACCTTTTGTGCTCTCTTCTTCCACTGGAGAAAGCCACTGAGAGAACTGCTGTGGCTTCAGTTTGAAAATCTCTGGACAAGACAGCTGGGAAGACCATTTCCAGCTCTGAAGTTCCACACATGAAATCTTCCTGTGGGAGAGCAGATGGAATCATGAAGTTCCTTCATGACACAAAGCAGAGGCATTTCTAAAGAAGAAGAAAAAGAGACCACTCAACCCAGCCCTCAAATATGTCTTAAATAATGTATCTTTTTTTAAAAAAAAAAAAAGTCTGTGCACTTTAGAAGCAAAGAAGACAAGGGGGAGTTAAGACATTGGACGTGTCAGTTAGGATACTTCCTGCTGGTGGTAACAGAAGACTGAGCTAGACATGACTACAGATTTGGCAATTTGTTATTTCATAGGAAAAAGAAGGCCAAAGATGGACCAATATCAGGATGAATCAATGCCATACTGACCTTGTCGAGGACCCAGACCCTTTCCCTCTTTCTTGCTTTGCCATCCCCAGCAGACAGGAAAGTCTCATGCTGTTGTTGCAAGATGATTCAGTAATTTCACATGCAAAAGTAATCGAAACCCGGGAAGAAAAGGAGTATTGCTTCCCATGAGGCCTTTCTGGAAGAGGGTGACTTTGAAGAAAGAAAGAAGAAGCTCTGTGTTTTCCTCCATTTGTAGTAAAAACAGAGAACCAAAGTCCAAGCCAACTTCCCACTACAATTACATTTGAGAAGCGTAAATA